TCAAAGCCTCCCTGGGATTATAGGTGTGAGCCACTATGCCCGGCCCCTTCCTCCATCTTCAAAACCTGAAAACACAAATTGGCCGGGTGGCTCACGCCTGTAATCCCAGCACTTTGGGAGGCTGAAGTGGGCACGTCACGAGGTCAGGAGATGGAGAACATCCTGGCCAACACAGTGAAACCCCGTCTCTACTAAAACAGCAAAAATTAGCTGAGCTTGGTGGCGTGTGCCTGTGGTTCCAGCTACTCGGGAGTCTGAGGAAGGAGAATCGCTTGAACCCAGGAGGTAGAGATTGCAGTGAGCCGAGATTGTGCCACTGCACTCCAGCCTGGCAACAGAATGAGATTCTGTCTCAAAAAAAAAAAAAAGAAAGAAAGAAAGAAAGAAAAAAGAAAAAGGAAAGGAAAAGAAAACGCAAATCTTTTTTCTGAACCTTTTCTATCATTACATTATTCTTTTCATTTTCTCTCTCTCTCTCTCTGTCTCTCTCTCTTTTCCTTCTCTCTCTTTCCATGGCTTGAGAAAGTTTCTGCACTTCTTAGGAATTATGATTGACTTCCTGGATGAACTGCAATAATCTTCTCATCTCAAGATTCATACCTTAGTAACATCTCCTAAGTCCCCTTTGCCATGCAAGGTAACCCATTCCCGAGATTGGGATGTGTACATCTTTAAGGGTGGGGCGTTATTCTCCCCACCACATCATACAACCAAGAAATACCATTATTGGTCCCATTTGTTTCTATTTCTTCAGATTCATTCTTAGTAAATTGCATGTTTCTAAGAATGTACCCATTTCTTCTAGGTTATTCAATCTGCTGGTATGTAACTGTAGACATTTTAAGTAAAGTATGCTTATTAATGTGAAACATAATTTTCAGAAATTCTACTTGATGTGGTTTGGATCTGGGCCCCTGCCCAAATCTCATGTTGCATTGTAATCTCTAATGTTGGAAGAGGGGCCTGATGGGAGGTGATTGGCTCATGGGGGCGGATTTCCCCCTTGCCGTTCTTACAACAGTGAGTCCTCATGAGATCTGGTTGTTTAAAAGTGTGTAGCAACTCCCCCTTCGCTCTCCTTCCTCCTTCTCTAGCCATATAAGATGTGCCTGCTTCCCCTTCACCTTCCACCATGATTGTAAGTTTCCTGAGGCCTCCTCAGCCATGCTTCCTGTACAGCCTGCAGAACTGTGAATCAACTAAACCTCTTTTCTTATAAATCACCCAGTCTCAGGTAGTTCTTTACAGCAATGTGAGAACAGATTAATACACTACTCCTAGGCTGGGGGCAATGGCTCACGCCTGTAATCCCAACACTTTGGGAGGCAAAGCGGGGTGGATCGCCTGAGGTCAGGAGTTCAAGACCAGCCTAGGAAACGTGGTGAAACCCTGTCTCTACTAAAAATACAAAAATAAGCCAGGTGTGGTGGCGTGCACCTGTAATCTCAGCAACTCGGGAGGCTGAGACAGGAGAATTGCTTGAACTCAGCAGAGGTGGAGGTTGCAGTGAGCAGAGATCATGCCACTGTACTCCAGCCTAGGCAACAGAGTGAGACTCCATCTCAAAAAAAAAAAAAAAAAAAAGTCATGTCTGTTGGCCAGAAATACGAACATCCACAGTAGAAAGTTACTGTCTCTCCCTCAGTTTCCAGGCCTATAACAGTTCACAGTTTTGGAGTCTCTTGACTGAAGTGGAGGTTGGGTCCCCTTGTTCTTGCTTCAGACACCAAAGACTATCAAAGCCCTCAGAATCCAGCTGCCATAGAAGTTTGACTGTTAGTGTGCCCTCAAAATTTGTACGTTGAAGTCCTAATCCATAATGTGATGGTATTTGGAGCTGGAGCATTTGGGAAGTAATTTGGTCATGACGGTGGTGACTTCATGAACGGAATTAGTGCCCTTGTAAGAAGAGATGGGAGCCCGGCACAGTGGCTCATGCCTTTAATCCCAACACTTTGGGAGGCTGAGGCAGGAGAATCACTTGAGCCCAGGAGTTCGAGACCAACCTGAACAATTCCAATGGTGAGACGCTGTGTCTACAAAAATTTAAAAATTAGCCAGATGTGGTGGGATGTGCCTGTAGTTCCAGGTACTCAGAAGGCTGAAACAAGAGGATTGCTTGAGCCTAGGAATTCGAGTTGGCCGTGAGCTATGATTGTGCCAGTGCACTCCAGCCTGGGGTGACAAGGAGAAATCCCATCTCTAAAAAAGACAGAGAGAGAGACATGAGAGAGAAGATCTCTCCCTCTACCTCTCGGCCATGTGAGGATACAGCAAGAAGGTGGCTGTCTGCAAACCAGGAAGTGTGCTTTCACCAGGAACCAAATTGGCTGGCACTTTGATCTTGGTGCCCCCAAAATTGTAAGAAATAAATTTCTGGCCAGGCAAGGTGGCTCATGCCTGTAATCCTAGCACTTTGGGAGGCTGAGGCAGGTGGATCACCTGAAGCCAAGAGTTCAAGACCAGCCTGGCCAACATGGTGAAACCGCAACTCTACTAAAAATACAAAAATTAGCCAGGTGTAGTGTTGGAGGCCTGTAATACCAACTACTCAGAAGGCTGAGGCAGGAGAATCTCTTGAACCCAGCGGGTAGAGGTTGCAGTGAGCCAAGATTGCGCCACTGCACTCCAGCCTGGGTGACAGAGCAAGACTCCATCTGAAACAAAAAAGAAGGAAGAAATTTCTGTTGTTTAAGTCACTCATCTATGGTATGTGTTATAGCAGCAGGAGCTCACTAAGACACTAACCTTTCCAAGATCCCCAGATTCCTAGGACTCTTGGAAGACCAAGAGACCTTCAGAGCACAATAAAAGTGTCCATGACTTTAAGTCCTTTAATTCTTTCCACTATAGCAAAGAAATGGAAAAATATTGGCATTTTCTGATACCCTTGGATTTCAGTTAGCTTCTTCAAGACTGCACAGAGTTCTTCTCCTCCCTTATAGCAGGTGGTCCACAGATTCTGTAGATTCCTTACCTCTGAAATTCCAGAGATAATCCAATATCCATCAGAATGTCTTGAGACCCTTGGATTCCTGTGGGACCATCCAGCCTCTCCAAGATCTGTGGATCCCTAGTAACTGCTCAGACTCACAAAATCTGTGAAATCCCAGAAGTTTCAGGACTTGCCTTCATTCCAGATTCCTGAGAATCCCCAGGCACACTTAGATAGCTACAATCCCTTCTGCATATTTCTCCAATATGCAGCTTCTACTAGGGCCCTGGATCCTAGCTTCTACTCGGTCCCTGGATCCTTCAGATATTGTAATTTCCACATAAACCCGGTTCCAGGTCTTCCTCCTCTCTTTCTCCAACTAAAGTCTATAAGGAGATTGCTGAATTTATAGGGCCCAGAACACAAACTTGAGGATCAACCAAGATTTCCATGAAGTCTGTTATCTAAGAAGTTCAGGGATTTTAGGACAATGAATTGCAGTGCAGAGTCTGCAAGAACACTAAAGCTGAAGATTGGCCAGGCACAGTGGCTCACATCTGTAATCCCAGCACTTTGGGAGGATGAAGTGGGTGGATCACCTGACATCAGGACTTCAAGACCAGCCTGACCAATAGGGTGAAACCCTGTTTCTACTAAAAACACAAAAATTAGCCGGATGTGGTGGCTCGCACGCTTGTAGTCCCAGCTAATCGGGAGGCTAAGACAGGAGAATTGCTTGAATCCAGGAGGAAGAGGTTGCAGTGAGCTGAAATCGCGCCACTGCACTTGAGCCTGGGTGACAGTGAGACCCTGTCTCAAAAAAAAAGTAAATAAATAAATAAAAATGAAGCTAAAGATTTCCTCATTACCAACGTACCAAGGGAAGGTCCCAGAATCTTCCAATAGCCATGTTGCATCTTCCTTCACAGCCTAGAATCTCCATGTTCATCCCAAACTTCCTCCCTCAGGACCTCGCAACAATACGCATTTCCAAAGCCTCCTACACCAGAGGCGACCAAATATACACCAAATACCCACTCCCATGTACACCAAATACCCACGTCCTGACCTCAAAACCCTTTCCTAATGGACCCAAATAGCCATGTTCCCCTACACAGTCTCCCTCAAGACAGAATTAGTGTGCAGGTGTCAGCCCCTTGTGATAGACAAGCAGAGGAAGAGCAGCAGTGGATCTAAGAACGGGTGAATGTCCGCCACATGTCCCAATAGTGTGGGTTTGGCCTCCAGGATATCCTCTTCTTCCTGGACCCTTGACTTTCAAGAAAGGAATAAACATGGAGGATCAAGAGGGAGCCATAAGGAGGACAAGGAATATCTTAGGGACCTAGAAATAAAAACAGCAGCTTCAAGGTGTTGAGCTTCCCTGTGCCTGATGCTGTGCAAAGCAGAACTTTTCTTGGAATATGCTATGCAGTCTTTAGAAATCCGTGATAAAAGTTCTATGATCGTCCACATTTTACATGTGAGCAAACCGAGAGTCAGCACCATTAAGGTTCAACCACCGAAAGTACCTAGCACAGATGTAGTAGTCAGATCTGTTTGACTCTAGAGGCTATGCTTTTATTTTATTTTATTTTATTTTATTTTTTTTGAGACAGTCTCACTCTGTCACCCAGGCTGAGAGTGCAGTGGCACAATCTCGGCTCACTGCAACCTCTGCCTCCCAGGTTCAAGTGACTCTCCTGCCTCAGCCTCCCGAGTAGCTAGGATTATAGGCACCTACCACCACACCTGGCTAACTTTTGCATTTTTAGTAGACATGGGGGTTTCACCATGTTGACCAGGCTGGTCTTGAACTTGTGACCTCAAGCGATCCACCCACCTCGGCCTCCCAATGTGCTGGGATTACAGGCGTAAACCACCACGCCCGGCCGAGGCTATGCTCTTAATTACACTTACTCTGCTTCCTGCCCTTTCCCCTCAATCTGCAGACAGGGTACTAAGACCAACCGGGAAGAAATTCAAACTCCAGGGCACTTCATGTTTCATAATAAACCACAGAGCTCAAGTTTCAAACATTTTCCAATATGTGTTGGCAGCTTAGATGTCATTTGTTGACTCTTCTACCAAGGACGAGTTGGGGGAAGGTAATAAGAAGCCCTAAAGCTGTGTCTGGTTTTGTAACAAGCACGTGAGTCCATAAAACCATAAAACCAAATGCCTGCATGAGATGGTAATCGTCCACGTGCTCTCTCCCCTGGAAAGAGGCTGAAACCTTTGACTCAGCGATTCTTCAACATCAGGAATTTAGCAGATGTTCAAACCACAGTCTCTAAATCAAAACTTGAGCTGTTAAGATGACTGGGTGTGAAATCATGGCCTCTTGTTTTGTTCATTGTTTGGGGTGGGTTTTTTGGTCTTTTTGAGACAGTGTCTTCCTCTGTCACCCAGGCTGGAATGCAGTGGCACAATCGAAATTCACTGTAGCCTTGATCCCCTGGCTCAGGCAATCCTCCCACCTCAGCCTCCCAAGCAGCTGGGACCACAAGTGCGTTCTGCCACACCCTAGTAGTAGAAAAATTTTAAAATTTTTTTGTAGAGATGATGTCTCACTATATGGCCCAGGCTGGTATCCATTCCCGCCTCAGCCTCCCAGAGCAATCCTTACTCTCAGTTACGGTCCATGGAACTGTAAATTGGTACGGCTTCAGAGGAGAGTAATGTGAACGCTTTTGTCTAAATTAAAAAAGAGCATACTCTTGGATTCAGTTAACTCCACTTGTAGTAATGTCTCCTACGATGTACATGAAAGTGTGCAAAATCACCCAGATTCATCAAATAACTGTTTACGTAATGCAAAACGGGAAATCAAAATGTGCACCAAGATATTGGTTAAACAAATTATGATGCATTCATTTGATAAACTTTGTCCATCAGAATCCCAGCAGAAAAACATGAGCGCCTAATGGAGGGACGGTTTTTTTTTTTTTTTTTTTTTTTGAGAGGGGGTCTCGCTCTGTCACCCAGGCTGGAGTGCAGTGGCACGATCTTGGCTCACTGCAAGCTCCACCTCCCGGGTTCACGCCATTCTCCTGCCTCAGCCTCCCAAGTAGCTGGAACTCCAGGCACCCGCCGCCACACCCGGCTAATTTTTTGTATTTTTAGTAGAGACGGGGTTTCATCGTGTTAGCCAGGAAGGTCTCGATCTCCTGACCTCGTGATCTGCCCACCTCGGCCTCCCAAAGTGCTGGGATTACAGGTGTGAGCCACAGCGCCTGGCCAATGGAGGGACATTTTACAAAGTGGAGGGCAGTGTGAGGGAAACCTATAAAATGTTGAAGCATTTTATGGCTTACAATAAGGAAAAGCCATCATCGTCCCTAGGTTGAAAAGTGCAGTGAGAGGGAGCGGTATCTGAAACCGAGACTGACTGTATCGGGGTAACAGAGAACCCCCAGCACGAGGCCATGGTTCTGGCAGAGGAATACAACCGCTGCTATCACACGGCCAAGCAAAATAATCTGACATTGCTCTTCTCTCAACCTTCCCTTGGCCCAACCCAACAATTTTTTTAATGTAGAGGTGAAGGGAGCACGGGTGGTACAGTTTATAGAGGCCGCCCTTCTAAAAGACAGGTCGGCCAGGCACGGTGGCTCAAGCCTGTAATCCCTTACAGGCCGAGACAGGCAGATCACGAGGTCAGGAGATCGAGACCATCCTGGCTAACACGGTGAAACCCCGTCTCTACTAAAAAATACAAAAAACTAGCCGGGCGAGGTGACGGGCGCCTGTAGTCCCAGCTACTCGGGAGGCTGAGGCAGGAGAACGGCATAAACCCGGGAGGCGGAGCTTGCAGTGAGCTGAGATCTGGCCACTGCACTCCAGCCTGGGCGACACAGCGAGACTCCGTCTCAAAAAAAAAAAAAAAACAGGCCATGGTGGAGAGTAGAGATGGTAGTGCAAATAGAATACCCACCCACCTCGGCCTCCCAAAGTGCTGGGATTACAAGCATGAGCCACCGCGCCCGGCCTCATTATGCTCCTCTTAACCAAGTTCTAGGGTAAGGGAAAAGTTGCTTACAGGGTTGGTGTGGATCCAACACTGCACCCTCCCTTTAGAAGTAGGGGGTAGATGCCAAGGGAAACTGGAGCTATATAATGATATAATGCCATCATCAAGCCTTCAGCCCTCTTCCAGGCCTGCCCCAACCGGCCTTTCCAGAACTGAAACAACAGCATGGGTGCCACCTCCATCCCACCATAATCCTGGGACTTAGGGTGTCAAATTCCCCAGGACCTCCAAACACTTCCTCCTCTGCCCCTCTGGGAACAGCAATCCTGGTGCACACCCACGAACCTGCAGGGGTACCCACACCTCCACCTGGCCTCCCAGACCCTTGACCTCAGGGGCTTTCCACCCAGCCTAGCCCCTGGCACCAGAGCCCTGGCCCAGCTCAATATGCCCTTGCGACCTGGCCAGGAGGTAGGTACCTAGGGCCAGTTTCTTTTTTTTTCTTTTTGAGACCGAGTCTCACTCTGTTGCCCAGGCTGGAGTGCAGTGGCATGATCTCAGCTCACTACAACCTCCGCCTCCTGGGTTCAAGCGATTCTAGTGCCTTAGCCTCCTGAGTAGCTGGGACTACAGGGAGTGAAAACATGACACAGCCACTTTGGAAGCAAGTTTGGAAGTTTCTTATAAATATACACTTATCATAGGACCCAGTAGTCACACTCACAGATATATCCAGATACATGAAACATAGATCCCTATAAAGACATATGCATATACACCAAGAATAATACATATTATTATTTATAATAGCCAGACCTTGGAAACAATCCACACTTCCATCAACTGGTGAAAAGCAAATTGTGTCACATCCATATGCAGTGACATGCTACTCCATAATGAATAGGAATGAGCTTCTGATGTATGTAACACATGGCTGACTCTCAAAAGCATTACATATGCTTCCCAGAAGCAGCCTTAGCATACAGAAGAAATGCTGTATATTTTCTTTCTTTCTTTTTTTTTTTTTTTGAGATGGAGTCTGTTGCCCAGGCTGGAGTGCAGTGGTGTGATCTCAGCTCATTGCAACCTCCGCCTCCCAGGTTCAAGCGATTCTCTTGCCTCGGCCTCCCAAGAAGCTGGGATTTCAGGTGCCCGCCACCACACCTGGCTAATTTTTGTATTTTTAGTAGAGATGGGAGTTTTGCCATGTTGGCCAGCCTCGTCTTGAACCCCTGACCTCAGGTGATCCACCTGCCTTGGCCTCCCAAAGCGTTAGGATTACAGGCGTGAGCCACCGCACCCTGCCCTCTCTGTGGTGTTCTGAGCCCAGCTGCTGTAACTGTGGTGGATGATGATGATGACGTTCTTGGGACCACACCCTGTGTGTGGATCTGTGCTAAGCACATTTTCACACGTAAGCCCCTAAGCCTCAGAACAATCCATTTTGCAGAGGAGGAAATGGAGACAGAGAGATTAAGCAAGTGCCTTGAAGCAACAGAGCTAGTAAGCAGAGGGGCTAGGATTAAATTTATGTCTAACACCAAAGTCCAGTCCACAACCGAATGCCCATTTATTGAGCACTTACTGGATACCAGGCATTATGCTAAAGTCTTGACATGTGTGAACCCGTTTCACCCTCCAGTAATCCTAGGAAGTGGGTGTTGTTACAGGGGAGGGAACTGAGGCCCAGAAAGGTTATATCACATGCCCAAGAAGTGGCAGAGCTGGGATATTTATATTTATATATGCTTACGCATGGGGAAAAAAAAAAGTTAATAAAAATATTCAGGCCAGGTATGGTGGCTCACGCCTGTAATCCCAACACTTTGGGAGGCCAAGGCAGGAGGATTCCTTGAGCCCAGGAGTTTGAGAGCAGCCTGGGCAACAAAGTGAGACCCTGGTATCTATAAAACTTAAAAACTACCTGGGCACAGTGGCATGCACCTGTTGTCCCAGCAACATGGGAGGCTGAGGCAGGAGGATTGCTTGAGCCCAGGAGGTTAAGGCTGCAGTGAGCTATGATTGTGCCACTGCACTCCAGCCTGGGTGACACAGCAAGACTCCATCCAAAAAAAAAAAAATCACATTGACATGATGCCTCCATATGCCAACACTGTTCCAGCACTTTGTGTAAACTGCCTCCTTGAACAAAATCACCCAAATCTAGGAAGTAGGTCCTACTATCAGCGTCATTTTACAGGAGAGGAAATTGAGGCAAAGAATGCTAAACAGCCCTCTTCTCTGATCTCCAAATCATGGTGGCTTTGGGCAAAAAATAATAATAATGTGGGCCAAGCATGGTGACTCATGCCTGTAATCCCAGCACTTTGGAAGGCCAAGGCAGGAGGATCACATGAAGCCAGGAATTCAAGACCAGCCTGGGCAACACAGTGGGACCTCATCTCTACAAAAACTGTTTTTTTTTTTTTTTGAGACGGAGTTTTGCTCTTGTTGCCCAGGCTGGAATGCAGTTGCACCAGCTAGGCTCACTGCAACTTCCGCTCCCCAGGTTCAAGCGATTCTCCTGCCTCAGCCTCCTGAGTAGCTGGGATTACAGGTGCATGCCACCACGCCTGGCTAATTTTTTACAAAAACTTTTTTTTTTTTGAGACGGAGTATCGCTGTGTCTCCCAGACTGGAGTGCAGTGGCACGATCTCGGCTCACTGTAAGCTCCACCTCCCAGGTTCACGCCATTCTCCTGCCTCAGCCTCCCGTGTAGCTGGGACTACAGGCGCCCGCCACCACGCCTGGCTAATTTTTTGTATTTTTTGTAGAGACAGGGTTTCACCGTGTTAGCCAGGATGGTCTCGATCTCCTGACCTCGTGATCCACCCGCCTCAGCCTCCCAAAATGCTGGGATTACAGGCGTGAGCCACCACGCCCGGCCACAAAATCCAGATTAGCCTGGTGTATGACCAGGCACAGTGGCTCATGCCTGTAATCCTAGCACTTTGGGAGGCCAAGGCAGGTGGATCACGAGGTCAAGAGATCAAGAGCATCCTGGCCAACATGGTGAAACCCCATCTCTACTACAAATACAAAAATTAGCTGGGCATGATGGTGGGCGCCTGTAGTGCCAGCTACTTGGGAGGAGGAGGCAGGAGAATAACTTGAACCCCAGAGGTGGAGGTTGCAGTGAGCTAAGATCATGCCACTGCACTCCAGCCTGGAGACACAGCAAGACTCCATCCCAAAAAACAAACAAAAGAAAAAGATTGGCCATGTGTGGTGGCATGCACCTGTAGTCCCAGCTGCTTGGGAGGCTGAGGCAGGAGGATCGTCTGAGCCCAGGAGTTGGAGGCTACAGAGGCTATGATCATGCCACAACACTCCAGCCTGGGTGACAGAGCAAGGCCCTGTCTCTTAAAAAAAAAAAAAAAAATAATAATAATAATAATAATAATGTGGCAAGTGATACGGAAGGGATTAAATGACATAAGTGAAATAATAACTGCCTGTATTAGTTTCTTATTGCTGTTGTAACAGATTACCGCAAATTTAGCAGCTTAAAACAATGCAAATTTAGTTTGTCATGGTTCTAGAGGTCCAAATTCTAAAGTGGGTCAGTAGGTCTGTTTTCCTTTTAGAATCTTTAGGGGAGAATTCATTTCTTTTTGTTTGTTTGTTTTGTTTTTCTAGATGGAGTCTCACACAGTCGCCCAGGCTGGAGTGCTGTGGCTCCATCTTGGTTCACTGCAAGCTCCACCTCCCAGGTTCACGCCGCTCTCCGGCCTCACCTTCCTGAGTAGCTGGGACTACAGGTGCCTGCCACCATGCCCGGCTAAATTTTTTTTTTTTTTTTTTTTTTTTTTGGTGCCTGCCACCATGCCCGGCTAAATTTTTTTTTTTTTTTTTTTTTTTTTTTTTTTTTGTACTTTTAGTAGAGACGGGGTTTCACCGTGTTAGCCAGGATGGTCTCGATATCCTGACCTCGTGATCCGCCCACCTCGGCCTCCCAAAGTGCTGGGATTACAGGTGTGAGCCACAGCGCCTGGCATTTTTTTTTTTAGAGAGTCTGCCTTGTTGCCCAGGCTAGAGTGCAGTGGTGCAATCTCAGCTCACTGCAACCTCCACCTCCCAGGGATTCAAGCGATTCTCCTGTCTCAGCCTCCTTAGTAGCTGGGATTACAGGTGCCCACCACCACGCCTGGCTAATTTTTGTACTTTTAGTAGAGACGGGGTTTCACCATGTTGGCCAGGTTGACCAAACCTCTGACTCAGGTATTCCACTCGCCTCGGCTCCCAAAGTGCTAGGATTACAGGCGTGAGCCACCGCGCTTGGCCAGGGGAGAATTCATTTCTGCACCTTCTCTAGTTTCTAGAGGCTGCCTGTATCACTGGGCTTGGGGCCCCTTCCTCCATCTGCAAAGCCAAAAAAATAGCATTTTCAATCTCTCTGTCCTTCTATCACCACATCACCCATCACCTTTTCTTTTCCCTCCCTCCCTTCCTTTCTTTCTTTCTTTTTTTCTTTTTTTCTTTTTTTTTTTTTTTTTTTTTGCCAGGATCTCACTCTGGCACCCAGGCTGCAGTGCAGTGGCATGGTCTGGGCTCACTGCAGCCTCGACCTCCTGAGCTCAACTGATTCTCCCACCTTGGCCTCCCAAGTAGCTGGGACTACAGGCATATGCCACCACATTCAGCTCATTCTTTTTAATCTTTTGTAGAGAGGGAGTCTTGCTGTGTTGCCCAGGCTTGTCTCAAACTCCTGGGCTCAAGCAATCCTCCTACCTCAGCCTCCCAATATATTCTGGGATTACAGGTGTGAGCCACCGCACCCAGCCTACATTACCTTTTCTTACTTGGTCCCTCCTGCCTCTCTCTAAAAAGGATCGCTGTGATTACATTAGGCCCAGCCAGATAGTCTAGAGTAAACTTCTCGTTTAATTAATTCAACTTAATCCCACCTGCAAAGTCCTTTTTACCATATAAGGGAACGAATTCACAGGTTGTAAGGATAAGGACACGGACATCTTTGGGGGCCATCACAGCCTGCCACGACACCGTGATCTGTGACAGCCCCGCACTGGGTCAGGCCCTTCACTGACTCCCAGTCACACACTCACTGACTCCTTATAGCAGCCCCATAACGAGAGAAGTGCCATCAGACCCATTTTACAGATGAGAAAACTGACACTCAGAGAAAGGAAGTCAGTTTGCCAAGTCACACCAAGACTAAGAGACCAATGAGGATTCAAACCGCGTCCATCTAACTCCAGATCTGGTTTTCTGGGCTGTGCTATTGTGTCCTGGGTGCTGTGTTGAAATGTGTTGTTTTGGCCAGGCATGGTGGCTCACGCCTGTAATCCTAGCACTTTGGGAGGCCAAGGTGGTGGATCACTTGAGCTTGGGAATTCGAAACCAGCCTGGGCAACATGATGAAACCCTGTCTCTACAAAAAATACAAAAACTGGGTCTGGCACGGTGGCTCATGCGTGTAATCTTAGCACTTTGGGAAGCCAAGGCGGGCGGATCACTTGAGGTCAGGAGTTCGAGACTAGCCTGGACAACATGGTGAAACCCCATCTCTACTAAAAATACAAAAAAAAAAAAAAAAAATAGCCGGGTGTGATCTCAGCTCCTTGTGAGCCTGAGGCAGGAGAATTGAACCCAGGAGGCAGAGGTTGCAGTGAACCGAGATCGTGCCACTGCACTCCAGCATGGGTGACGCAGCGAGATTTCGTCTCAAAAAAAAAGAAAGAAAGAAATGTTCTGTTCGGTATTTAGTATGGTCTGTTCAGCTGTTGGACGGCCAGATGCTAGGTGTTGTGTTATTTCTGGGTGAGATTGTAGAGTTGTCAGGCGCTGCATGTGGTTTTGCATTGTGTCATCTGCTGGCTGCCAACGTTGTTGCGTTGCTGCATAGTGTGTCCTTTGTTCTGCTGCCTTGATTGTACGTGTTGTGATGTCACATCGTGTGTTGGGTGCTGTCTGCTGGGTTGCTGTGTACTAGTGTGTGTTGTGTGACAGGATTATGGAGCTGTATGCTGGCATTATGTGTTGGTGTGTGCTTACTGTGTCTTGGGATGTTTCCGGGCTGGTTGTTAGGTCACCGAGTGTCCTGTGTTGGCATCTACTGTGATCCTATTTGCTGGGTGTTCTGTTGCCCTGTGTTGTTGTGTTCCGTGATGCCTGATGATTGCCTTGTGCTATGTTGCGTGCTGTGTGTTGTGTCGCCACGAATAGCCGGTTCTGTGGTTGGTATTGTTGCTGTGGATGTGCTGCAGGAAGTTGTGGGTTCTGTGCTGTCTGTGGCACTGACAGATGCTTTTGGGGCGTTGTTAAGCAGCATGTTGTGACCATGTGCCTGTATTCTGCACCGCAAAATACATTGCCATGGTTGAGTCGGATGTTGTGCAAATTAATGGTGTTGCTGCATGAGGTCTGGTGTGCTGCACATCGCGTCTTCCTGATCCATTCCATTCCCCACCCTCAGGCGAGCCCTTTGACCCCACGTTTGTGCTGAGTCGCGCAGTGTCCAACATTATCTGTTCCGTGCTCTTCGGCAGCTGCTTCCACTACGATGATGAGCGTCTGCTCACCGTTATCCGCCTTATCAATGACAACTTCCAAATCATGAGCAGCCCCTGGGGCGAGGCCAGCCAACTGAGTCCAGCAGGCACGGGGTGTGGGGTCCGCAGGACCTAGGAATGAAGAGGAAACAGTGGGCGGGGAAAGGGCTGCGAATGGCTCTCCCAGGGCCCGCCCCTCCCATCTGACCCCACCCAGAGTTACACGGCCACGCCCACTCCCCTCCGCTGAGCATTTATGGCCGCCATTCCCTCCTTCCCACTCCCCCTCAGCCCCAACCCCAACCCCGACCTCTTCAGAACCTGGCTACCCTTCGAGACCCAGTCCTTGCCTACCTAATCCACACAGAACCCGTTCGCCCCTGAACACCCTTCGTGCTCCTCCAAAACCCTCCCACTCTGTCTGGTCCCCAGTTGTACAACATCTTCCCGAGCCTCCTGGACTGGGTGCCCGGGCCGCACCAACGCATCTTCCAGAACTTCAAGCGCCTGAGAGACCTCATCGCCCACAGCGTCCACGACCACCAGGCCTCTCTAGACCCCAGATCTCCCCGGGACTTCATCGACTGCTTCCTCACCAAGATGGCAGAGGTAATCCCTACCTGGAAATCCCACCTCTAGTCTGACCTGAAATTCTCCTGCTGCCCCTGCCTCAAACCCACAGGGACCCCAGATGGGGCAGGGTTGGGGGACCTTTTCCCTGGAGAAGCTGAATCATCTGGCCCAGCTGGGCTGGAGCCAGGAGCCACTCGCAGCCACAGCCAATTTACACCTCGTTAAGAAGTCATCAAAGGCTGTGGGGCGGGGCAGGGGAGGGCGCGAGAGGGCGCAGTTGCTCACCCTTGTAATCCCAGCACTTTGGGCTGCCTAGGCAGGAGAATGGCTTGAGTCCAGGAGTTCGAGACCAGCCTGGACAATATAGTAAGACTCAGTCTCTACAATACATACATACATACATAAAACGTATTTTAAAAAAAACAAAAAACAAGAAGTCATTCAAGCTCTATCCAAGAAGTTAATTATAGGCCCTACAGCTGAGATTTTCCCAGCCCTGCCCTTCTGCTTCCCCAGCTCTCCTAGGGAAAGAAAGTTAAACCCAGCTGGGACTGAATGGGCCCCCAGCAGCAGTCCTACTGGTCTAGAGGGAAGGGGTCTCCATCCCTGGCTTACGTCCCCACCCCTCCACCCCGGCAGGAGGAGGACCCGCTGAGCCACTTCCACATGGATACCCTATTGATGACCACACATAACCTGCTCTTTGGCAGCACCGAGACGGTGGGCACCACGCTGCGCCACGCCTTCCTGGCACTCATGAAGTACCCGAAAGTTCAAGGTGAGGCCCACCCACACAGCAGCGCGGAGGTGCCCATGTGTTCCAGCCTCAGCCCAGAGCAGGGAGCCACGGCCCGCCTCCAGCCCTGCCTCCCAGGTCTGAGATAGCCTCCTGCTGACACCAGGAGTCCACAGCCAAACCCACAAACCCACACGGAGGCCGATCCCACCCACACAGACCATGAGGTCCATGCAGCCTGCCCGAATCCCGACCCAGATCCCACCCGCTTAGTTGTTTTTGTTTTTGTTTTTGTTTTGTGTTTTGGAGACGGAGTCTCGCTCTGTCACCCAGGCTGGAGTGCAGCGGTGTGATCTTGGTCGGCTCACTGCAACCTCTGCCTCCCGAGTTCAAGGGGTTCTCCTGCCTCAGCCTCCCAAGTAGCTGGGATTACAGGTGCACACCACCACATCCAGCTAATTTTTGTATGTTTAGTAGAGACAGGGTTTCACCAATTGGCCAGGCTGGTCTTGAACTCCTGGCCTCAAGTGATCCACTCGCCTCAGCCTCCCAAAGTGCTGGGATTACAGGCGTGAGCCATTGCACCCAGCTCTGCTTAATTTTTTGTTTGTTTTTGAGACAGAGTCACTCTGTCGCCCAGGCTGGAGTACAATGGTGCAATCACAGTTCACTGCAGCCCCTCAGGCTCAAGAGATTTTCCCACCTCAGCCTTATCAATAGCTGGGAGGACAGGCGTGCACCACCACACTCAATACACTCAGCTAACTTTTTATTTTTTGTACAGACAGGGTCTAGCTGTGTTGCCCTGGTGGGTCTCCAACTCCTGGGCTCAACCAGTCCTCTCACCTCGGCCTCCCAAAGTGCTGAGGTTACAGGTGTCAGCCTCCGCTCCCCACCTCCACCCGCTTAGTCTTGCCTTGTTCCAACCGTGTCCACCACTGCATATGTCCACCTCCGGCTTCAGAGCCCAGCTACCAGTCCTCCCGGAGCCCAGCCACACACCTGCCAGGGACCCCTACCTCTCCCACACAGCCTGGCCCACACACACAGCTCTGTCTGCTATTCCACCTCCCCAAGCTCCACCTCTGGGTATATCCCCTGCTCTGCCCCTGATCTCCAGCCCTCCTGCACAGTTCACCCACTCGATCTACTGTCCAGCCAGTAGGGTCCCAAAACTGCTCCTGAAATCCCATCAGGTCCTGGATTCCAGGCCTCCCGGAAGCCCCGCCCACACAACCCAATGCCCAGGGCCTTGCACAAGCCAACCTTTTGCCCTCACTGACGCACTTCCTCCCAGGCCCTGGCTAATTATTATCTTCCCCCCCCCTTTTTTTTTTTTTTTTTTTTTTTTTAAAGACAGAGTCTCCCTCTGTTGCCCAGGCTGGAGTGCAGTGGCCCGATCCCGGCTCACTGCAACCTCTGCCTCCCGGGTTCAAGCGATTCTCCTGCCTCCACCTCCCAAGTAGCTGGGACCATAGGTGTGCGCCACCATGCCCAGCTAATTTTTCTGTTTTGTTTTAGAGACGGGGTTTCACCATGTTGCCTGGGCTGGTCTCTAACAGGGGCCAGCCCCTCCACACCTGTGGGTATTTCGCGTCAGGCAGGATGAGAGGTGGAGAAAAGAAATAAGGCACAAAGACAAAGTATAGAGAAAGAACAGTGGGCCCAGGGGACTGGCACTCAGCATACGGAGGACCCGCACCGGCCCCAGTCTCTGAATTCCCCCCGTATTTATTGATTACTATTTTCACTATCTCAGCTAAGGGAATGCGGCAAGAGAACAGGGTGATAGTGGGGAGGTCAGCAGGAAAACGTGAGCAAAGGCATCTGAGTTACATATAAGTTCAAGGGAAGGTACTGTGCCCAGATGTGTGCCTAAGCCAGGTTTATGCTTCTCTCCACCCAGACGTCTCAGTGTAGCAAAGAGTAACCAAGCAGCATTGCCACAAGCATATCTCGCCTCCAGCCACAGGGCTTCATTCTATTCTCCTATCTCAGAATAGAATGAATGCACGATCAGGTTTTACACCGAGACATTCTGTTCCCAGGGACATGCAGGAGTCAGAGGCCTTCCTCTTATCTCAACTGCAAGAGGCTTCCTCAGCACAAACCCTTCATGTGTGTCAGGCTGGGGGACAGTCAGGTCTTTCCCTTCCCATGAGGCCATATTTCAAGCTGTCTTAGTTGGGGGAAACCTTGGACAATACCCAGGCTTTCTTGGGCAGAGGTCCCTGCGGCTTTCCGCAGTGCATTGTGCACCCTGTTAATCAAGAATGGAGAATGGCGATGACTTCCAAGCATACTGCCTGCAAACATATTGTTAACAAGGCACATCCTGCACAGTCCTAGATCCCTTAAACCTTGATTCTATACAGCACATGTTTCTGTGAGCACAGAGTTGAAGTTAAAGTTACAGATCAACAGCATCTCAAGGCAAAACAATTTTCTTAGTACAGATCAAAATGGAACTTCTTATGGCTTCCTTTTCTACATAGACACAGTAACAGTCTGATCTCTCTTTTCCCTACATATCCCCCTTTTCTTTTTGACAAAACCGCCATCGTCACTATGGCGCGTTCTCGCTGGTCACTGTCTCTTCGGAGCTGCTGGATACACCTGTAGACTAACAATAGACAGAACAGGCATAGAAGGATTAATATGAAATTTATAATAGTGGAACTTCTAATGATTTTAACCCAACTGACCGGGTTAAGATTGGCGAGGCCATCAGCAGCATTCGCGGTTGCCTCAGTTCCTGGCACCACATTTAAATGGGCTTTTGATGCCTCAAAAATGTGTTCTTTTAATTTTGAGAAGTCTAAAGTAAGATTATCTTCTCTTCCTTGTAGGTGGTGTCTAACCATGTCCCGGTAATGCTCAGACTCATTATAGGCTTGGGGTGTAATACAAAAATCTGACGTATTCCAGTCACACTGTGACTGAAAATGATGTTCCAAGCTCATGAGCCTATCTTTCATCCAAATGACAGTTTGTCTAAGATCATTAATTTGGTTTGCCGATTTTTGATCTATTTGGGTCTGAGATTTTCACAATTTTGAGAAATTCTTTTGCCAATCATGGACATATTTTGCAGTTTGAACAGAGGATTGTAAAGCAATTCCAGCAGCCGCAGCAGTAGCTGTCACTGCAATAAGGCCCATAATCACTGCAATCAAAGTAAAAATGAATCTTTTGGATCAAGTTAGAATTCCTTTTAATACTTCCATTAAAATATGGATGAATGGCGAGGCCTCCCACGGTTGGTCCATGGACACAGGATCCACACGCCCTCTCTTGCTCTCACTAGTAGAATATGGTGCTGCAATTAAAAGTTGAATCAATGCAAGGAAAAAAATCTACAATTTTCACAGGTTATAGTTTGGGAATCTGGTTGATAACTATGTTTCCTACAACTAGCATATAAGGGGGTTTTACACTACTTTGCAAAGAAATTGTCAGACTGGAATTTAGGTTGATAGTATAATATGGCTTATAATCTCTTGTTCCTGTGGCTTGATTTCCAGACCAAATTCTAATGTGGTGCAAGGCCACAGTAAACTTCCATAATTCTGGATGTTCGGGACCAGTAACAGGACTAACTAACTTTGGTCGAGGCGGTGAAATTCCCTTTTCACCCCATTTCCATGGATAGGATGATTCGAACCTTCTATAAATCTGGTCCAGTGTTTCAGTTAAATCACTATCATAGGCCGGATTAATGGGCAAGATGGATGGGGCCTGTGAATATGAGTGAGTCTGGCCCGTACAATTATGATATAATTGGCCTCGAGGGGCCATCAGTAAACACCGTCAGAGCATTTTCTAAAATTTGGTAATTTTAGGTAAAATCCAAGTAGTCAATTTTAAAAACTGGAAGATTTTTGTTTTTGGGTATTGATTGTCAATAATTCCCACAAAATCGGTAAGACCAATCTGCCAAGCACCAGAATGGATAAAGGCTTGTCTAACCTGTTCCTTGTTTAAAGGAACGATGATTTTGTCTGGGTCACTTGGATACAATTTTATTATTTGTAGTTTTGCCTGACCAATTAATGTAGCCATTTGATCCAAGTACAATGTAAAAGTCTTAATTGTACTGTGAGGAAGGAACAAGCACTCCACAGGATCAGTATTTTGAACAATGATGCCTGTTGGAGAATGTGCAGTAGCAAAAATCAAAAGTTGGAGTGGGGCCAAGAGATTTACTTGTGCTGATTGAATTTTTTCTTCCACTAATTTAATTTCTTTAGTTGCCTCTGGAGTTAATGTTCTTTTGCTGTTTAATTCCGGGTCCTCTCTTAAGATAGAGAACAAATTTGACATGGCGTAAGTAGGGATGCCTAGAGTTGGCCGAATCCAATTAATATCTCCTAGCAACTTTTGAAGTCATTTAATGTTTTTAATGTGTCTTTTCTTATTTATATTTTTGGTGGTTTAATTTTCTTTTCCTCTACCTGCATTCCCAAGTAATGGAAAGGAGTAGAGGCTTGAATCTTATCAGATGCTATTGTCAGTTCTGCATTGGCAACCTCTGTCTGCAGAAATGTGTAATAGTTAATTAATTTGTCTCTCGTTTCTGCAGCACACAAAATATCATCAAAATAATCAATGATATAACAGTCTGAAAATTTATCTCTAACTGGTTGAAGAGCTTGAGCTACAAAAGTCTGACAAATAGTTGGACTATTAAGTATTCCCTGAGGTAACACTTTCCACTGAAACCTGGTGGCTGGTTCTTTATTATTTATGGCCGGTATAGTAAAGGCAAATTTTTCAAAATCATGTTTTGCCAGAGGAATGGTAAAAAAGCAATCCGTCAGATCAATCTTTTTTTTTTTTTGAGATGGAGTCTCACTCTGTTGCCCCAGCTGGAGCGCAGTGGCACAATCTCGGCTCACTGCAAGCTCCACCTCCCAGGTTCACGCCATTCTCCTGCCTCAGCCTCCCAAGTAGCTGGGACTACAGGCGCCTGCCACCACACCCGGCTAATTTTTTGTATTTTTAGTAGAGATGGGGTTTCACCGTGTTAGCCAGAATGATCTAGATCTCCTGACCTCGTGATTTGCCAGCCTCAGCCTCCCAAAGTGCTGGGATTACAGATGTGAGCCACCACACCCAGCCTCAGATCCATTATAATTAAAGACCAGTCTTTGGGGATCATGGCCAGAGAGGGCATCCCGGGTTGGAGAGCCCCCATGGGTTGAACTGCGGCATTAACAGCTCTTAAGTCGGTCCGCATGCGCCATGTGCTGGATTTGTTTTGAATTTCAAACACTGGAGAATTTTAAGGAGAGAAAGTGGGTGAAACATGCCCTTTTTAAAATAGTTCTTTTAATTATTTTATGTAGCGCCCCCAACTTTTTCTTAGGGAGCAGCCACTGTTCAACCCAGACAGGACACTGGGGGTGAGTCTGAATTGCTCTTTTACCATAATGAACTGCAGGTTGCGCAATAATGGGCGCAGTGAGCCAAGTCGCAGTGAGCAGGGTTTCGGGCTCCCTCCCCCAGCATTCACTCCACTGCGGAGGAGGTGGCTGTTGTGGTTTTAGCACTGATGGCCCCAGTGGTTCTGGATCTTCTCCTCTCAATTTTAATGTTTCAGGATATTACCTCCTGTAATTGATTGTAGTCAACATTTTGAGTTGACCCAGCTTTTACAGACTTTGCTACATATTTACAATGTGAACTTTCCGGGATTTTGTCCCTGCCTTTTCTTCGGAATCTATTACACAGCTTTCAGGGGCATCAGAAATTGAAATGCTATCTTCTCTTCTTTGAAATAGTGTAATTAGATTTTCTGTAGAAGCTCTAATTCCCCCTCTTCTTAAAAGAATTTTAATAAAGCTGAGATAAGAGGCATATTCACTTTCAGTTTGTCCCATTGTTACCCTGGGTTCCTCCAAGCGCACAAGCTTACTGCAAGGCTGACCACGGACGTACTCGGGAATCTCTCATCCACTTGTCCTCAGCGCTCATGTTCTTAGCGTACCCTCGCCTTAGAGAAAGGCACCCATGTTGGGCGTCAGATGAAGGGGGCCAGCCCCTCCACACCTGTGGGTATTTTTCGTCAGGCGGGATGAGAGACGGAGAAAAGAAATAAGGCACAGAGACAAAGTATAGAGAAAGAACAGTGGGATCCAGGGGACCGGTGCCATACAGAGGACCCGCACCGGCCCCAGTCTCTGAGTTCCCTCAGTATTTATTGATTAGTAATTTCACTATCTTGGCTAAGGGAATGTGGCAGGAGAGCAGGGTCATAGTGGGGAGAAGGTCAGCAGGAAAACATGTGAGCAAAGGAATCTGGGTTACAAATAAGTTCAAGGTAAGGTACTGTGCCCGGATGTGTGCCTAAGCCAGATTTATGCTTCTCTCCGCCCTACGTCTCAGTGTAGCAAACAGTAACAGAGTAGCATTGCCGCCAGCATATCTCGCCTCCAGCCACAGGGCAGTTTTCTCTTATCTGGGAATATAATGAATGTACGATTGGGTTTTACACTGAGACATTGCGTTCCCAGGGACATGCAGGAGATAGAAGCCTTCCTCTTATCTCAACCACAAGAAGCCTCCCTCTTTTACTAATCCTCCTCAGCACAGACCCTTTACGGGTGTCGGACTGGGGGAGAGTCAGGTCTTTCCCTTTCCACGAGGCCATATCTCAGGCTGTCTCAATGAGGGGAAACCTTGGACAATACCCAGGCTTTCTTGGGCAGAGGTCCCTGTGGCTTTCCACCATTCATTGTGGCCCTGGTTAATCGAAAATGGAGAATGGCGATGACTTTTACCAAGCATACTGCCTGTAAACATATTGCTAACAAGGCACATCCTGCACAGCCCTAGATCACCTAAACCTTGATTCCATACAGCACATGTTTCTGTGAGCACAGGGTTGGGGCTAAAGTTACAGGTTAACAGCATCTCAAGGCAAAACAATTTTCTTAGTACAGATCAAAATGGAACTTCTTATGTCTTCCTTCTCTACATAGACACAGTAACATTCTAATTTCTCTTTCTTTTCCCTACAGTCTCAAACTCCTGGGCTCAAGGGATCCGTCCGCCTGGGCCTCCCAAGTTCTGGGATTACAGGCTTGAGCCACCCAGCGGGCCAGCTCTAGCTAATTCTCACGTGCACCCCAAGTGGCGCCCTGCGCTTGGAGGCTTTGACTAGACCCCTCCCCACACAAGCACACACCTCTTCCCAGCCTGGTTGCCCTGTGGCGCCTCTGATATCCTTGACCCCTCCTCCCCCACCCCTTCCAGCCCGCGTGCAGGAGGAGATCGACCTCGCAGTGGGACTCCCGCGACTGCCAGCGGCGCTGGAAGACCGCACCACCATGCCTTACACAGACCCGGTGATCCACCAGGTGCAGCGCTTTGCAGACATCATCCCCATGAACTTGCCGCACCGCCTCACTCAGGACACAGCCTTTCGCGGCTTCCTGATACCCAAGGTGCGCTAGGCCTGGCAAACGACATCAGGCAACCTAAGAGGAGGCATCGCAGGCTCTTGCAACTCGCAAGGAGTATCCCAGGCACTAGCAATCAACACCCCAGGCCTTAGCAACTGGCATCCCAAGCCCGAGCTACAGACATCTCAGACCCTCAAATCCAGAAGCTCAGGCCTTTCCCAGGACCCCATCTCATATCATAGTGGACCAGACCCTTCACCATGACAAATCCCCTTCCTAGAACCCCTTCCCTGGAAGCCCTGGGGTCTGGAACTTCATCTTGAGGATCCCCTGTGCCTAAACGCTATTCTCAGGGACCCCTCCTTTTTCCCAGAAACCCCATATCTGCTCCCACAAAGGATGGGGGTTTCCCACATCCCGGCCAAAGTCCCCAATAACACAGCATATAGCACCCATCGCTTGGAACCCTAGACACCCACACTTCCCTGGCCCCTGATTGAGTCCTATACCCCACCCACCCACGCCTTATCAAGTCCCCGGGACACCCAGCCCGATAAAATGGAAACTAGTTTGGGAGCCTCCCAGCCCTCCTGCACTGCTAACTCCACCTCCTCACCCACACAGGGCACCGATATCATCACCCTCCTTAACACCGTCCACTACGACCCCAGCCAGTTCCTGACGCCCCAGGAGTTCAACCCCGAGCGTTTTTGGATGCCAATCAGTCCTTCAAGAAGAGCCCAGCCTTTATGCCCTTCTCAGCTGGTGAGGGCAGGAATCAGAGTCTTTCTGGCCCAATTTCTGCCTACATTCCTCATCCTAATTCCACTTGCCAAATCTTCTCACTCCTTCCTTCCACTCATTCTCAGCTTTGGATGTACAGAGACATTTATTCCTCCTCTCAACTCTGCTCCTATAGGCAAGTAGTGACTAAAATCCTCATGAAGCGAGGTGGGGAAGTTGATTAATAATTTAACTTGGGGCTGGGCACGGTGGCTTACACCTGTAATCCCAGCACTTTGGGAGGCTGAGGTGGGCGGATCACCTGAGGTCAGGAGTTCAAGACCAGCCTGACCAATATGGTGAAACCCCGTCTCTACTTAAAATACAAAAATTAGCTAGGTGTGGTGGCGGGCACCTACAGTCCCAGCTACTCTGGAGGCTGAGACAGGAAAATCGCTTGAACCCGGGAGGCGGAGGTTGCAGTGAGCCGAGATTGCACTATTGTACTTCAGCCTGGGTGACAGAGCGAGACTCTGTCTCAAAAAAAATAATGATAATAATTTAACAGCCAGGAGCGGTTGCTCACGCCTATAATCCCAGCACTTTGGGAGATCTAGACGGGCAGGTCACCTGAGGTCAGGAGTTCAAGATTAGCCTGACCAACATGGTGAAACCCTGTCTCTACTAAAAATACAAAATTCACCAGGAAGGCACACCTGTAATCCCAGCATTTTGGGAGGCCAAGGCAGGCAGACCACGAGGTCAGAAGATTGAGACCATCCTGCTTAACATGGTGAAACACCGTCTCTACTAAAAATACAAAAAACATTAGCCAGATGTGGTGGCGGACGCCTGTAGTCACAGCTACTCAGGAGGGTGAGGCAGGAGAATGGCGTGAACTCAGGAGGCAGAGCTTGCAGTGAGGGGAGATAGTGCCACTGCACTCCAGCCTGAGCGACAGAGCGAGACTCCATCTCAAAACAAAAACAAAAACAAAAACAAATTAGCCAGGAAATGGTGGCACATGCCTGTAATCCCAGATATTCTGGAGGCTGAGACAGGAGAATCACTTCAACCCAGGAGGCAGAGGTTGCTGTGGGCCAAGATTGCGCCATTGCACTCCAGCCTGGGCAACAAGAGCAAAACTCCATCTCAAAAAAATAAATAATTATTATAAGAATTATTTAACTTGGGCCAGGCACATCAGCTCACACCTGTAATCCCAGTACTTTGGGAGGCTGAGGCGGGAGGATCACTTGAGGCCAGGAGTTCAAGACCAGCCTGGACAACATAGTAAGATCCTTTGTCTACTGAAAATGTTAAAATTACCTGGGTGTGGTGGCGGGCATCTGCAGTCCCAGCTACTTGGGAGGCTGAGGTGGGATTATCGCTTGAGCTCAGGAGGTTGAGGTTACACTGAGTATGATCACGCCACTGCACTCCAGTCTGGGTAACAGAGCGAGATCCTTTCTCTACAATAAAAAATACTGACTAGCCAAAACTAAAAAATATATAAAATGTTTAAAAGAAAAAAAATAAATAATTGAACTTGGGAGTGGTCATTGTCTACCTCTCCACTGGGTGGCGCAGTTGAGGTGGTTCTAGGGGGTTTTTTTGTTTGTTTTTTGTTTTTTGGGTTTTTTCTGGCTTTTCTCTTTACCCTGCTGAAAAATACTTCCCTCTTTACTCAGTGGCAGGAAAAGAAAAAACAAAAAACTGGCGTAATAATAGGCAACTTACCATGTTGCCCACTGTGCATCAAGTGCTGGCTGTACAAGAGCCCAGCTAAGAACTTGTGTTTTCCTCTGGGAATGTGCAGCCCTGATTCCAGCAGGGTTTGCATCCCATCTGTCACCCCCTAGCTGTGTTGCCTTGGGTATGTTACTTCACTTCTCTGTGCCTCAATGTCCACATCTATAAAATGGAGATATACTAAGGCCTGCCTCTTGGAGTTGTTAGAATTAATGGTGATCTAACGCTTAGAGTAGTGCATGGTAAGCTACTTATAACCTCACTGCTTTCCCTGTGTTTACCATTCACAGCAGCCTCATGAGGCACTATTACTATCCCTCCTTTTATTTTCATTTCTGAGACAGGGTCTTGCTGTCATCCAGGCTGGAGGGCAGTGGTGCAATCATGGCTCACTGCAGCCTTGATCTCCTGGGCTCAGGTGATCCTCTCGCCTCAGCCTCCCAAGCAGCTGGGACTGCACACATGTGCCACCTTGCACATTTAAAAAATATATATTTTATTTTTATATATATATATATATATTTATATTTAGAGATGGGATCTTGCTGTGTTGCCCAGGCTGCTCTCAAACTCCTGGGCTCAAGAGATCCTCTTCCCTCGACCTCCGAAAGTGCTGGGATTACAGGCCTAAGCCAGCGTGCCCAGCCTTCATAGCCCCATTTTAAATACCCAGAAAGTGTGGTTTGTCCAGGATCACAAAACTAGTTAGCCCGGGTCATTCCACTCCACAGTTTAAAGCATCTTTCCCAGATCTTCAGATGGGTGAATCTGTGACGTCCCCAGCTGTTGTCTTCCTTTCCTCTTCTGTTTTCCTCTGGGAATGTGGGGTTGCAGCCTCTAACTTCATCTTATCTCACCGCCACTCCCCACCCTGCCACCCCCGCAGGGCGCTGTCTGTGCCTGGGCGAGTCGCTGGCGCGCATGGAGCTCTTTACCTCACCGCCATCCTGCAGAGCTTCTCGCTGCAGCCGCTGGGTGCGCCCGAGGACATCGACCTGACCCCGCTCAGCTCAGGTCCTGGCAATTTGCCAAGGCCTTTCCAGCTGTGCCTGCTCCCATGCTAATGCCCCGGCCTTTCCAGATTAGCCTGTGGGTGATGAGGCCCATCCATGTGGGTTGCTCCGTCTCCTTCTTGGTCCACAGTCTGCCCCCGTCCCTCTGGCAGTCACGCTGTCTTCCCTACACGCTGTGCCTGCCACGTGCCCATCCCCCATCTCTCCAATCTGTACCCGGTCTGCAGGGCAGAGGGAGATGTGTGGAAGATGTGTACCCACAGAGCTTGTTCTATGGCACGCCCTTTTCTAGGCTTTTCATATCATTTCTTAGTACATTTGTAATAGATTCAAACCAGTCTTGGCTGAATTAAAGGGAGGATGACAGTCATTTAGGATGGGGAGAAGGGAGCTGGCTGCAGAGAGGGAGACACTGGCTAGTTCTGTGAAGGGATGGCCTGCCCCTCCACACCTGTGGGCGTTTCTCGTTAGGTGAACGAGAGACTTGAGAAAAGAAATGAGACACAGAGACAAAGTATAGAGAAAGAAACAGTGGGCCCAGGGAACCAGCGCTCAGCTTACAGAGGACCCACGCCGGCACCGGTCTCTGAGCTCCCTCAGTATTTATTGATCATTATCTTTACCATCTTAGAAAAAAGGAAGTGGCAGGATAATAGGATCATCGTAGGGAGAAGGTCAGCAGTAAGACATATGAATGAAGATCTCTGTGACATGAGTAAGTTTAAGGAAAAGTTCTGTGCCTTGATATGCATATGCAAACATCTCCATAAACCTTTTTAGTGCATAAAGAGCAGCATTGCTGCTAGTACGTCCCACCTCCAGCCCTAAGGTGGTTTTCTCCTTTCTCAGTAAACAGAACATACAATCAAGTTTTACAGTTTTACACGGAGATGTTCCATTGCCCAGGGACAGGCAGGAGACAGATGGATTTCTGTATCTCAACTGCCAAGAGACCTTCTTTCCTCTTATACTAGTCCTCTTCAGCACAGACCCTTCATGGGTGTCAGGCTGGGGGACGATCAGATCTTTCCCTTCCCACAAGGCCATATTTCAGACTATCACATGAGGAGAAACCTTGGACAATACCTAGCTTTCCTAGGCAGAGGTCCCTGCGACCTTCTGCAGTGTATGTGTCCCTGGGTACTTGAGATTAAGAGAATGGTGATGACTTTTAACCAGCAAGCTGCCTTCAGGCACTTTTTTAACAAAGCACACCCTGCACAGCCCCAAATCCATTAAACCTTGAATCACCACAGCACATGTCTCTTGCAAGGACAAGGTTGGGGATAGGGTCACAGATTAACAGCATCTCAAATACAGAACAAAATGGAGTCTCTTATGTCTACTTCTTTCTATATAGACACAGTAACAGTCTGATCTCTCTTTCTTTTCCCCACAGTTCTGCCCTCACCTTTAGGGTGGCTAGGGTGGGAGAAATTGTATCCTGGTGACAGACTTGAAGGTAAAGGCTGTGAGGACCTGAAACCAGAGAGGCAGAGAGACCAAGACAGAGAAAAAGACAGCAGGACCAGGCGAGGTGGCTCACACCTGTAATCCCAGCCCTTTGGGAGGCTGAGGCAGGAGGATCGCTTGAACCCAGGAGTTCGAAACCAGCCTGGGCAACAGAGTGAGACCTGATTCTACAAAAAGTGGGGCAGGAGGATTGCTTGAGCCTGGGAGGTCGAGGCTGCAATGGGCTATCATTGCACCATTGCATTCCCGCCTGGGAGACCGGAGTGAGACCCTGTCTCAAAAAAAAAAAAAAGAGGAAGAAGAAAAAGCAGAGATAAGAAGAAGGAAGAAGGAAGAAGAGGAAGAAGAGGAAGAGGAAGAAGGAAGAAGGAAGAAGGAGGAAGAAGAAGAAGAAGAAGAAGAGGAGGAGGAGGAGGAGAAGAAGAAGAAGGAGGAGGGAGGGGGAAGGAGGAGGGGAGGAGGAGGAGGAAGAGGAGGAGGAGGAGGAGGAAGAGGAGGAGGAGGAGGAGGAGAAGAAGGAGGAGGAGGAGGGAGGGGGAAGGAGGAGGAGGAGGAGCCAGCAGAGAGAGATCAGAGAGAACATGCAAGAGCTGCAGGGCACTGTAGAGAGATGGAAGCAGGGGAAAGTGAGGCTAAGAAGGAACAAATACTGACACTAAATGACACTCCCTATTTGCACACTGTCTGAATGCCTCATTTAGGTCTCCCTATGAGGCAAAGCCGTATTTTTTGCTTTGGTTTGATTTGGCGGCTTTTTTTTTTTAAGACAGAGTCTTGCTCTGTCACCCAGGCTGGAGTGCAGTGGCGTGATCTCGGCTCACTGCAACCTCTGCCTCCCTTGTTCAAGTGATTCTCCTGCCTCAGCCACCCAAGTAGCTGGGACTACAGGCGCCTGCCACCACACCCGGCTAATTTTTTATATTTTTAGTAGAGACAGGATTTCACCGTGTTAGCCAGGATGGTCTCGATCTCCTGACTTCATGATCTGCCCATCTCGGTATCCCAAAGTGCTGGGATTACAGGCGTGAGCCACTGCGCCTGGCCTGCTTGTTTCTTTTAAAGGCAGGGTCTCCCTCTGTTGCCCAAGCTGGAGTGCAATGGCACAATTCAAGGCTCACTGCAACCTTGAACTTCTGGGTTCAACTGATCCTCCTGCTTCTGCTTCAGCCCACCAAGTAGCTGGAACTACAGTCACTGTGCCTGGCTAATTTTTTTTTTTTTTTTTTTTTTTTTTTTTGTTTTTTGTTTTTTTTGAGACGGAGTCTCGCTTTGTCGCCCAGGCTGGAGTGCAGTGGCGCGATCTCGGCTCACTGCAAGCTCCGCCTCCCGGGTTCCCGCCATTCTCCGGCCTCAGCCTCCGAGTAGCTGGGACTACAGGCGCCCGCCACTACGCCCGGCTAGTTTTTTGTATTTTTAGTAGAAACGGGGTTTCACCGTGTTAGCCAGGATGGTCTCGATCTCCTGACCTCGTGATCCGCCCGTCTCGGCCTCCCAAAGTGCTGGGATTACAGGCTTGAGCCACCGCGCCCGGCTTTTTTAATCTTTAGTAGAGACAGAGTCTTGCAGTGTTGCCTAGGCTGGTCTTGAACTCCTGGTCTAAAGCGATCCTCCCACCTCATCCTCCCAAAGCACTGGGATTTACAGGCATGAGCCACCACACCTGGCCACAAAGCAGTATTATTATCACGTTTTTACAGATGAGCAAACTGAGGCTCAGAGAGGTGAAGTGAGTTGCCCAAGATCATACAGACACAGGCAGAGCTGGGATCTAAATTCAGACTCCGAGGTTACAAACACTGCTCTTCTTCTTCTTTCTTCTTCTTCTCCTCTTCTCCTCTTCTCTTCTCTTTTCTTCTTCTTCTTCTTCTTCTTCTTCTTCTCCTCTTCTCCTCTTCTCTTCTCTTCTTTCTTCTTCTTCTTCTTCTTCTCTTCTTTTTCTTCTTCTTCTTCTTCTTCTTCTTCTTCTTCCTCTTCCTCTTCCTCTTCCTCTTCCTCTTCCTCTTCTTCTTCTTCTTCTTCTTCTTCTTCTTCTTCTTCTTCTTCTTCTTCTTCTTCTTCTTTTCTTCTTCTTCTTCTTCTTCTTCTTCTTCTTTCTTCTTCCTCTCTCTCTCTCTCCACAAGCTCTCACTCTGTCTCTCATGCTGGAATGCAATGGCTTAATCACAGCTTACTGAAGTTTCAACCTCCTAGGCTCAAGCAATCCTCCCACCTTAGCCTCCTGAGTAGCTGGGACTACAGGTTGCACCACGACCACAGCTGGCTAAATTACTTTTATGTTTATTTTTTGAGTTTTTTTTTTTTTTTTTTTTTTTTTTGAGACGGAGTCTTGCTCTGTGCCCCAGGCTGGAGTGCAGTGGCGCGATCTCGGCTCACTGCAAACTCCGCCCCCCCCGGGTTCCCGCCATTCTCCTGCCTCAGCCTCCCGAGTCGCTGGGACTACAGGCGCCCGCCACCTCGCCCGGCTAATTTTCTTGTATTTTTAGTAGAGACGGGGTTTCACCATGTTAGCCAGGATGGTCTCGATCTCCTGACCTCGTGATCCGCCCGTCTCGGCCTCCCAAAGTGCTGGGATTACAGGCTTGAGCCACCGCGCCCGGCCTATTTTTTGAGTTATTTTTTGAGACAGGGAGGGTCTTGCTCTGTCACCCAGGCCAGAGTGCAGTGGCTTGATCTCAGCTCACTGCAACCTCTACCTCCTGGGTTCAAGCAATTTTCGTGTCTCAGCCTCCCGAGCAGCTGGGATTACAGGTGCCTGCCACCACACCCATCTCTGTGTGTGTGTGTGTGTGTGTGTGTGTGTGTATTTTTAGTAGAGACAGGGTTTCACCATGTTGGCCAGGCTGGTCTCGAACTCTTGGCCTCAGGTGATCCACCCGCCTCAGCCTCCCAAAGTGCTGGGATTACAGGCGTAAGCCACTGCACCCAGCCGATAATTTTTTTATTTTTATTTTTTGTAGAGGAAGTCTCACTATGTTGTCCAGGCTGGTCTCGAACTCCTGGCCTCAAGTGATCCTCCAGCCTCAGCCTCCCGAAATTCTGGACAACCCGTGCACACCACCATGCCCTACTCAGACACTGTACTTCTAACTACTACCTTTTAATTCACAAGTAAGAGACCCAGAAAGAAAGAGGAAGACACCATTAAATACAGAGAAAAGCAGAAAAACACAGACACTAAGAAATGGGAGGCAGGGGGAATCCAGAGAGAGAGAATGGAAAGAAACAGAGAAATGACCAGAGAAAGACAGATGAGCAACGACAGTGGGAGTTCCGAGGACTGAGGCTCTCTCCCTCAATCCCCACCCCCTCTTTTCTTTTCTGTTTTTTCTTTTTTTTTTTTTTTTTTGGACAGTCTTGCTCTGTTGCCCAGGCTGGAGTGCAGTGGCACGATCTTAGCTCACTGCAACCTCCACCTTCAAGGCTCAAGTGATTCTTATGCCTCAGCCTCCTGAGTAGCTGGAATTACAGGCACACACCACTGTGCCTGGCTAATTTTTGTATTTTTAGTAGAGATGGGGTTTCACCATGTTGGCCAGGCTTGTCTTGAACTACTGGCCCCAAGTGATCTGCCCACCTCAGCCTCCCAAAGTGCTGGGATTACATGCGTGAACCACTGCACTCGGCCCTCCCACCCGCTCACTGAAACTCTCCCCTTTGGGGTGAGGATAGCAACCCCAGGCATGTACCCTCCCAACCTGGGACCCGACCTAATACCCTAACATCCTGCTGGCAGTGGCTGTTCTTGCTGGGCAGGCGTCCCAAAGCACATCGAGCCAGATTCAGGCAAAGTGGAACTGGCCCCTCAGCCATCAGTGGAGGTGGCCTGGGAGGCCCTACCCTGAATGGGGTCTCCCCAAGGCGATGCAGAAACTGGGA